AGTTTACAGGGTGCAGACCTACAAAGAGAAGAGTTTACAGGGTGCAGGCCCACAGAGAGAAGAGTTTACAGGGTGCAGACCTACAGAGAGAAGAGTTTACAGGGTGCAGACCTCCAGAGAGAAGAGTTTACAGGGTGCAGGCAAACAGAGAGAAGAGTTTACAGGGTGCAGGCACACAGAGAGAAGAGTTTACAGGGTGCAGACCTACAGAGAGAAGAGTTTACAGGGTGCAGGCAAACAGAGAGAAGAGTTTACAGGGTGCAGGCACACAGAGAGAAGAGTTTACAGGGTGCAGGCAAACAGAGAGAAGAGTTTACAGAGTCCAGGCCCACAGAGAGAAGAGTTCAGAGTTTCTGAGTTCAGACCTAGAGAGAAGAGTTTATTGAATCGCTCTCAGGGAGACGAGCTGCTGTTACACCATGACTGGGCGAGTGGAGTTGACTCAGACATACTGTACAGCAACACGCTACAAAGAGATGCAGGAGAAAATGAAGGATGCCATGCCGATTTCCATCACTGTCCCATTCCCTTGCTGAATGATGCTACAGAATATAATAATGTTGCTTTAGATACTCAGACGAACGTTCTCTCTCCATTTTTATCTCCCAATTTTATAGGAATCGTGTTTTGAATATGAGGTCATGAGAATAGGAATTTAGAAACAACATACTGTACTCCAGAAGCTTATGAAGACTAACATAAATTTTACAGATGGCAAACAATAACTTGCCACAGTAATGTACTTAACTGGAAAAAGGGTGAAATGTAGATCAAAGCTGATTATGAACATAAAAAATAAAGCAATCTTACATATAGGGCTATGTAAGTTTTACTGCATTTCTAACCTAAGGCATACACTCCACTAAATTACACATGCACTTCAGCAAGTTTTTGTTTAACTTCAACACCAGGTCCCTAATATTTCAGCTCAGTCATTCTTATTGTTGAAAGGAAAAAAACACACATCTCAGGTCAAAGTTGGGATGGGTGATAACTCCCATGAAGGGACTGACCTGGCCAGAATTCAGTAGTATTAGTTTGGCTCCTGTCCTTATGCAAGGTAACTTAAAGCATTAAATCACAGAAATGCATGAAGATACGATACAATAACATGACTGCCAAGTGCAGATATGGGCCTCAGGTGCTGTGTGAAAAATGTTGGTACAGTGCTTACATTAAACGAATGGCAAAAGAGAAAGAATATGTACTGTCCCAATAAACATTGACAATAACAAGCATATCAGGACAATGATGATGTGTTAACAAATACAGATTCCTAATAAAAATTCCTAATGTGAAAATATTCTCTGCCTATTTAATTCATTAGGTACTCTTAAAAATAATAATTTTGAAGTATGAAGCTGCAGGATCTGGAAACATTATACAGACAACTCTTTGGCCGCCTGTAGAAAAGGACTCCACTTGAAATCCTCGGTTGGCATGGAAACAACATTTATTTTGGCAGTTTAGATATTTACTTTTGGATGAGCTCTTTCATATATTTTTATTTCAAACGACAGTGTATTTTGGAAACCATTTACAGTTGCCATGTTACACGAAAAACAATTCCAGAATTCCCTGAAAACGTTCGATCTCTTCATAAATATTTTTAGCTGCCTGACAGATCTCCCTCCTCTGCGCTACCGGTCCTCGCAAAGAGGGGAAAGGAGAAAGAGAAGGAGCCTGAGAAGAAGGACAAGGCGATGCACAGCCCAGCAGAACCGGAGACCACTGGCAAGACACCCAACAAGACGCCCACCAAGACAGCCCAGCACCCTCCGGGGGCAGAAGGAGCCTCCATAGACCACCTTCTTGGTGTCCTCAGCTCTGATATGGAGAAGATGGGTGTGCACACCGCTGCCAAAGGCCATTGTGCTGCTTGTGGCAAGTGCATTGTGGGAAAGGTACTATAAAGTAATAGAAGTCAATGATGCGCACTTTAATAAAAGCAAATATTAACTTATCTGAATGTTACTGAATGTTGTTTTAGAACCAGGCCTCCTTAAATGTTGAAATAATATGCTTCATATTTGCTTACTGGTAAAGTACACACCCTGGTACGTAATATTTTCTGGTCCTTATATGAGCAAACAGGTTCTAAAGACCTTTTGTTACCTTGTTGTCTAAGATGATTTGCAGAAATGTACACAAATATGTGCAAATAACATATTAAATACACTGTCTTGAACAGGTATCCATTCCCTTCCAGTGATGCCCCCTTTTGTTATTTAACAAATTATGTACAAACATTTTTGAAGTGAACATTTTTAATCAAACTTGAATGCTCAGATTCTATACGTTAATGGGTAAACTGTGACAAAACTTCATCAACGATCCCCAGCCAACTTTACAGAAACTGAGCAAGTCTGCAAAGCTGGTAGACATCCAAAAAGAAATTGATGTCAAAGATGATTCCAACAAGTATTTGCACAGGGGGTGAATGCTTATGCAATCAACATATTTTAGCTTAATGTTTTTTTTGCAGCGCTTGTCGACATTTAAATCCTTTCCTCCATAAACGTGCTCAGTTTTACAAGGCACTTAATACTGCTTTCCTTCATTAATCAGTACGTTTACAAGAGTGTGCAGCTTGGGAAACCTGACATGGATCAAACTTGTTTCTTCCCTGCTTTATTCCTCTCTTTCTCCGCTCAGGTGATCACAGCTATGGGCATGACCTGGCACCCCGAACACTTTGTGTGCTGTGTGTGTAAGGAGGAGCTTGGAGTTTCATGCGGTTTCTTTGAAAGAGATGGAAAACCCTACTGTGAGACAGACTATCAGAATATCTTCGCTCCTCGCTGTGCGTACTGCAATGGACCCATCTTGCAGGTACAGTTATAGTCAATTTCACTTGGAAATCAAAGAATTAAAGACTGTTTCTAAAAATCGGCTGAACAGGGGATCTCCAGGACCAGGGGTGAAGACCATTTAAAGATACCAATTTTTCTATCCTAGGAAGTAAGAGGAGACAAAAACACCCACCAAAAAACAGTATGAATATAGAAAGAATATGCAAATTGCACAAAGAAGGTGCCCTGGTCTAAAATCTAACCCAGTACTTAAGTACATAAGGCAGCAGTGTTAAACACATTAACACCGTGCCATCTGTGTTTGTTACAATGACTTTCCATCAGTGTATTCCCTGTGCTTTAGGGGTGTTCAGGTAGAACTTCTTGAATGTTAAAATGGCTTTTTACACGACGGTATCCCGAAAGCTAAATGCTCTGTAGAAGGATGTATGCTGGTAGGATTGTATCCAGCAGTGTCATCTCCCCCACAGAACATCCTGACAGCACTGGACCGCTCCTGGCACCCAGAGCACTTCTTCTGTACAGCATGTGGACATGTGTTCGGCTCAGAGGGTGAGAGACTGAAGCAAACACACACTGACACGTAGACTAAGGACTCATTCACTTAGTGATGGTAATGTGTAATAACTGTAAATTACTATAAATATAAAAATAATAAGCATATTTATTGCGTGCTTTTTACAGGTCTCGTATTTATTAACAGAACTGTTGCTCATAGCAGATAACCTAGTGCATGAAGCATGTACTACAGCTGAGTTGTTTACAGTACCTACAGTATAATGATTAATAAAGACAAATATATTCAAATATTTCTCAAATACCACCAGCCAGGTTTTCATTACACAAAGGTGCACAAATGATTACCACTTTCACAAGGCCGACTCTTGTTATGCTAAATTTGGCTCTCTTCCACTCTGTCCAGCCTCTATGTTCCTGACCTTAGTCACAGCTCCGCTTGTGTCCTAACTTGCCTAGGGCTCTGTATCTCATGCCTAAGGCGATTCCTGTGCTCTTGGCCCCACCACTTGTGAATGTTCATTACTGCTGTACAGACAGGTGTACATAGTGGGCATCTTAGCTTCCCTGTCATAGTCACCAGAAGATGTCTTACCTTCAGTGCTGTAGCACAGGCTTCATGCATCACACTTTATAGAAACAACTATCAATCAAACAAATATAAAGCTAAATGTTGCTAATTCCTGTCTCAAGCAGATATAATATCCAACACATCATTCAACAGTAATGGGAGAGTAAGGATTCTGCTTTAGTGAATGAATTCCAGTCATTGATTATGTAGTACAGCTGGTCATACAGTAGCATATTGTTTGTCCTAGATATTTTGACGGTAATTTTGTTTCCTTTGATTGTTGTGAAATAGGCTCACTGTTTCTAAATCTTCTGGCCCCTGTCTTCCCTGACTCCAGCAACAGGAGCCCTACATTATAGATAGATAGATAATACTTTATTAATCCCATAGGGAAATTTATGTGTTACAGCAGTCCAGCCCAAGACAAGCAAAAACAGACATCAGAATAGTTATAAAACAAAAGACAACAAAATAAATAAATAAATAATAAATACATATGTGTGTGCAAAATGTGATGATCATAGTCACTGTAAAAACAATAAAATATGTGCAAAATGTGCATAGGTTTATACAGACTGATTGTCCAAAAAGTCCAAAAAGTACAATGGAGCAAACATGCTGTCCATAGACGAGCAAATGAAGGGCTAACAGTCCTAGCCTAGGGCAGCGTTATACACCCTGCCCTAGGGTTATTATT